GCTGTGCAATTGTAAACATACCAAACATCGTCCCTTCTGTGATGGCACTCACAAGCAACCTCATATCCAATCTGCTGTTAAATAAGTGAATTTATTTTAAAAATACATAATTGTTTTCTTTGTTATGAATAAAGTTTTCTCCGCTCGAAATAAGAAAAACACACATACGTTCATTATTTTCATGAACGTTTTCATATTTTTTTGTTTGTTTTTAATTTAAGCAACAATAATGATAAATATGTATTTGTTTTATTTTCGATAAATAGTATAGAAAATTATATATAAATTATTTTGGTTTTATCTCTCTAGATTCAATATTACAAATCGATAAGGATTTAAAAGAAAATACATTGAATTGAAATGTTTTTGAGAAAGATTTAAATGAAAACAATTTTTCACAAATTTTAAAGAAATTTGAAGTATAAGTGGTATAGATTTAGGTAAAGTTCATGAAAACCAATTCCCATCCAAATTCAATTAGAATTTTTCAAACTTTCTTCAAAAGCATTTCAATTACATTTCCATTTTACAACTTTTAATTACGTTATTACTCCTTAAGTTTAATGATATTATTTTCGTGATTATATTACTTTTTTACGTGGTATTAACCAAAAATACTTCTACTGCTGCTTCGAGTTTGTAAACTGATTCCTACTAAAAATAATGCAACAACTTAAATATTTACATTTTTAAGACTTAAGGCATTAAGGAGTTAAAAAGCTACATTTATTTTTAAAAAATTGAGAAGTATAAAAATGATGCAAAGTTGTATGTATGTTTATACTGAAAAATATAGTAATTCTGCATTAAATGTGGGTCAAGTCAATTGAGTTTTTCAATTAATATTGAAAAATTAGCGAATAAAACCTATAATTAAAGTAATTTTAAAAATGTATCATTCAATATTGTATAACAATAATCAGATCGAAGAGTTGGCATTTATTCATGGACGATCACATTCTTGAATAACAACCTTTGAATTAGTGATGTAGCCATTACGTCATTGGTTCTGTGAAACATTATTAAGCGAAATTATGGATTCAGACTATGCATCACACGAATATTGCGAGGTCATCTTCAACATCCTATTGTGCAATAATGCACAAATTGTGAAGTAGAAACAAGGTCCTCAAGTCGCATGCCCGATGATCTTGGGACATGAATAAAGTAAACTTGTTGCCTGGCCAGTAGTTAATAAAGCTGCTCCAGTGTTGTTGTTGTTGTAACAGTTCGACTGTGCCCGGGGGAAAACTTTTGGTTGATACAGCACTCGCTGCGTCGACAATTATATTATAGTATGACTAGGATGGTTCCAGAGTAAAGATCGAATTGTCCCCGGGGCGAAGACATCTGCTCCAGTGTGGTCACCTTCACTTAGGAAAAACATTCAAAGCTGTTAAATTGCTTTCCTAAGGACGGCAGACATCGACCGCACAGGAAGACTAAACTAACATCATCCAACCTGGCAGCACTTGGGGCATAAAGTGACCTTATTGGTTACATAAAGAATCGAGTGCTAAAACATTCAATGTTGCAAAATTGTTGCCCTCAGGTCTGCATGCAAATTGCCTCAAAACATCACCAGTCAAGGAACAGAATGTGATACTGATTAATCCGTTTTTTCCAGCGACATCCAACCACTGCAATCACGCACAATTTGTCACGTAGACGTTTGCCAGTGACAGGGGAATATTCGAAGCAAATTGCTGTTATAAGGGCTACTTGAAAATTATCTGAGAACTAGACTATAGGCTAGACTATTGACTAGACTATAGACCGGACTATAGATTAGCCTATAGACTAGACTGTAGACTAGACTATAGACTAGACTGTAGACTAAACTCTGAACTAGACTATAGACTAGACTGTAGTCTAGATTGTAGACTAGACTGTAGACTAGAGTATAGACTAGAATATAAACTAGATTAGACAAGATTGTATACTAGAATATAGGCTAAACTATAGACCAGACTATATACCTGATTATGGACTAGACTATAGACATGATTATACACCGAACTATAGATTAGACTAGACTGTATATTTGACTATAGACTATACTATAGACTGGACTGTAGACTATACTATAGACTAGACTGATGACTAGACTATCGACTAGAGTATAAACTAGGCCATAGGCTCTAGTCTATAGAGTGTAGACTAGACTATTGATTAGAGTATATACTAGACTATAGACTAGGTTATTGACCGGACTATATATTAGACTGTAGACTAGACTAGTCTATAGTCTAGACCATAGACTAGAGTAGACTAAGGATCACACTTTAGACTTGACTAGATAATAGACTATAATAGTCTAGACTATAGACTAGTCCATAGTCTAGAAGACTAGACTAGTCAATAGTCTAGTCTAGACTATGTTAGACTATGTTATAGACTACACACTAGAGTATAGACTTGACTAGTATATAGACCAGACTATGAACAAGACTATAGACTAGACTGTACTCTAGACTATAAAATAGACTGTATACTACACCCTAACATAGATTGTATACCAGACCATAACCTTGACTATATACCCGACTGATTGTCAGACTGACTATTGTCATGACTATTGACTAGACTACTTATAGGCTAGAGTATAGACTAGACTATGGGCTAGACTATAAACTATACAGTAGCAAATGTTTGACGTAAAACAGTGCTGCCAAGTGATGCATTTTTGCAGTATTGCACAATTACTGCATTTACAAGAATTGTATACAATTTTAATAAATTTTGAAAATTTCCATTTCCACTACATATTTAAGTTATTGACTTGCCCACATAAAATATTTAAAAAAAAAATAAATGAAAAAATGCATATTGAGGTTGTTTTTGTTTAAATTTGTTTGTTTAATATCATCATGTATTTGTTGTTTGCTTTCTTTTTTATTACAGATTTGCATTAACTTAACAAATCAAGAAACTAATTAAAAGAGAATTTTATAAAATAAAGTAAAAAAATTTATAATAAAAGTTTTTGCTTTTATGTATTTTTTTTTAATAAAATAATTAAATTTCAATTATAAAAACAACCAAAATTAAGAAAATTAATAAAATTATTTTGGGATTTTTTTTAATATTAAATGCAAAAAATTAATGAATTGTTTTATTTATATAAAAAAAAACAAAAACTAAATATTTGCCCAGAAAAAAATACTTTTAAACAAATCTCAATAAAATGTTTTATTAATAAAATTTAATTTTATGTTTTTTGAAATACTAAATATTTATTTTAAAGGCCATTAAGAGAAAATTTAATTTAATTTAGTGTTTGTTTTTTTTTTCTGTTTTGTTGGTTTAATAATTAAAGACTTGAGTTGTTGTTGTTTTTTAATGGTAAATAATATTATTTAAAAATTTTAAACTTAAAATTTAAAAATTAAATAATGACTGCGCATGCGTGTTGAGTTGTTTGTTTGTTTGTTGTTGTGGGGTATAAGAGTGGGTGTTTACAATTTAAAAAGAAAAACAAATTAAACAGGAAAACAATTCGAGTTAATTTTTATATATTACTTAAAATAAAGTTTATTTTCTTGTTGTTTTTTTTTTTAATATGGAGAATATTACAAAATGTAATAAAATCATAAAAAAAATGAGAAATTTAAATTCTTGTTGGAGTTTAAAGAAAAAACAGTTTATACTTGTTTGAGCATTTTTTCCTTTTTTAATAAAAATGGCAAAAATATTAAAAAAAAAAATAATTAAAAGTTTAATTGAAATTCTTTTTTTTAGCACAAATTATTTAAATGTTCTTTTTATTATTATTATTCTTGTAACTCTCTTTTTATATAAGGTTAATTTTTTTAATTATTTATAAAGTTTATCATAAAGTTTTCTGTTTGTTATTTTCTTTCGTTAAGGGGAAATTTTATAGAATTGTGTTAATAAGAGTAAGTGTTACTAGTGGCAAAAAGAAATTTCAACTTCATGTTCAACATTTAATGTTGTAGCTCTTTTTTGCATACGTTTGTTTTTTTTTTAATAATTTTTAATTCAAAGAAAACATAGAGAGTAAAGTTTCTTATTTCATTTCTTTTTTTTATACAAAAACAAGTTATAGTGTTTAAAAACTGATTTAAAAGAAAAGTAATAGAATAGGGGGGCGACAAGAGTAGAAGGAGAGTTAAATAGAAAAAAACACACCACACTAACAAACTTAATATTCTTCATCTTCAGGCTGAATTTCATCTGGTGGCGCAAAACCATCCTGTAAAGAAAGAAAGAGATTTGTTAGAAAAATACATTCTTAAGAATTGAAATAGAACTGAACTAGAACTGAACTAGAACGGAACTAGAACTGAACTAGAACTAGAACTGAACTAGAACTGAACTAGAACTGAACTGGAACTGAACTAGAACAGAACTAGAACTGAACCAGAACTGAACTAGAACTGAAGAACTAGAACTGAACTAGAACTGAACTAGAACTGAACTAGAACTGAACTAGAGAACTAGAACTAGAACTGAACTAGAACTGAACTAGAACTGAACTAGAACTGAACTAGAACTGAACTAGAACTGAACTAGAACTGAACTAGAACTGAACTAGAACTGAACTAGAACTGAACTAGAACTGAACTAGAACTGAACTAGAACTGAACTAGAACTGAACTAGAACTGACTAACTGAACTAGAACTGAACTAGAACTGAACTAGAACTGAACTAGAACTGAACTAGAACTGAACTAGAACTGAACTAGAACTGAACTAGAACTGAACTAGAACTGAAATAGAAATGAAATAGAACTGAAATAGAAATGAACTAGAACTGAACTAGAACTGAACTAGAACTGAACTAGAACTGAACTAGAACTGAACTAGAACTGAACTAGAACTGAACTAGAACTGAACTAGAACTGAACTAGAACTGAAATAGAAATGAAATAGAACTGAAATAGAAATGAACTAGAACTGAACTAGAACTGAACTAGAACTGAACTAGAACTGAAATAGAACTGAACTAGAACTGAAATAGAACTGAACTAGAACTGAACTAGAACTAAACTAGAACTAAACTAGAACTGAACTAGAACTGAACTGAACTAGAACTGAACTAGAACTAAACTAGAACTGAACTAGAACTGAACTAGAACTGAACTAGAACTGAACTAGAACTGAACTAGAACTGAACTGGAACTGAACTAGAACTAGAACTGAACTAGAACTGAACTAGAAACTGAACTAGAACTGAACTAGAACTGAACTAGAACTGAACTAGAACTGAACTAGAACTGAACTAGAACTGAACTAGAACTGAAATAGAACTGAACTAGAACTGAACTAGAACTGAACTAGAACTGAACTAGAACTGAACTGGAACTGAACTGGAACTGAACTAGAACTGAACTAGAACTGAACTAGAACTGAAATAGAACTGAACTAGAACTGAACTAGAACTGAACTAGAACTGAACTAGAAATGAACTAGAACTGAATTGGAATTGAACTAGAACTGAATTGGAATTGAACTAGAACTGAACTGAACTAGAACTGAAATAGAACTGAACTAGAACTGAACTAAAACTGAACTAGAACTGAACTAGAACTGAACTAGAACTGAACTAGAACAGAACTAGAACTGAACTAGAACTGAACTAGAACTGAACTAGAACTGAACTAGAACTGAACTAGAACTGAACTAGAACTGAACTAGAACTGAACTAGAACTGAACTAGAACTAAACTAGAACTGAACTGGAACTGAACTAGAACTAGAACTGAACTAGAACTGAACTAGAACTGAACTAGAACTGAACTAGAACTGAACTAGAACTGAACTAGAACTGAACTAGAACTGAACTAGAACTGAACTAGAACTGAAATAGAACTGAACTAGAACTGAACTAGAACTGAACTAAAACTGAACTAGAACTGAACTAGAACTGAACTAGAACTGAACTAGAACTGAACTAGAACTGAACTAGAACTGAAATAGAACTGAACTAGAACTGAAATAGAACTGAACTAGAACTGAACTAAAACTAAACTAGAACTAAACTAGAACTGAACTAGAACTGAACTGAACTAGAACTGAACTAGAACTAAACTAGAACTGAACTAGAACTGAACTAGAACTGAACTAAAACTGAACTAGAACTGAACTAAACTGAACTATAACTGAACTAGAACTGAACTAGAATTGAACTAGAACTGAACTAGAACTGAACTAAAACTGAACTAGAACTGAACTAGAACTGAACTAGAACTAAACTAGAACTGAACTAGAACTGAACTAGAACTGAACTAGAACTGAACTAGAACTGAACTAAAACTGAACTAGAACTGAACTAGAACTGAACTAGAACTAGAACTGAACTGAACTAAACTAAACTGAACTATAACTGAACTAGAACTGAACTAGAATTGACTAGAACTGAACTAGAACTGAACTAGAACTGAACTAGAACTGAACTAGAACTGAACTAGAACTGAACTAGAACTGAACTAGAACTGAACTAGAACTGAACTAGAACTAAACTAGAACTAACTAGAACTGAACTAGAACTGAACTAGAACTGAACTAGAACTGAACTAGAACTGAACTAGAACTGAACTGAACTAGAACTGAACTAGAACTAAACTAGAACTAAACTAGAACTGAACTAGAACTGAACTAGAACTGAACTAGAACTGAACTAGAACTGAACTAGAACTGAACTAGAACTGAACTAGAACTGAACTAGAACTGAACTAGAACTGAACTAGAACTGAACTAGAATTGAACTAGAACTGAACTAGAACTGAACTAGAACTGAACTAGAACTGAACTAGAACTGAACTAGAATTGAACTAGAACTGAACTAGAACTGAACTAGAACTGAACTAGAACTGAACTAGAACTGAACTAGAACTGAACTAGAACTGAACTAGAACTGAACTAGAACTGAACTAGAACTGAACTAGAACTGAACTAGAACTGAACTAGAACTGAACTAGAACTGAACTAGAACTGAATTAGAACTTAACTAGAACTGAAATAGAACTGAAATAGAACTGAACTAAAACTGAACTAGAACTGAACTAGAACTGAACTAGAACTGAACTAGAACTGAACCAGAACTGAACTAGAACTGAACTAGAACTGAACTAGAACTGAACTAGAACTGAACTAGAACTGAACTAGAACTGAACTAGAACTGAACTAGAACTGAACTAGAACTGAACAAAAACTGAACTAGAGCTGAACTAGAACTGAACTAGAACTGATCTAGAACTGAACTAGAACTGAAATAGAACTGAACTAAAACTGAACTAGAACTGAACTAGAACTGAACCAGAACTGAACTAGAACTGAACTAGAACTGAACTAGAACTGAACTAGAACTGAACTAGAACTGAACTAGAACTGAACTAGAACTGAACTAGAACTGAACTAGAACTGAACTAGAACTGAACTAGAACTGAACTAGAACTGAACTAGAACTGAAATAGAAATGAAATAGAACTGAATAGAAATGAACTAGAACTGACTAGAACTGAACTAGAACTGAACTAGAACTGAACTAGAACTGAACTAGAACTGAACTAGAACTGAACTAGAACTGACTAGAACTGAACTAGAACTGAAATAGAAATGAAATAGAACTGAATAGAAATGAACTAGAACTGAACTAGAACTGAACTAGAACTGAACTAGAACTGAAATAGAACTGAACTAGAACTGAAATAGAACTGAACTAGAACTGAACTAGAACTAAACTAGAACTAAACTAGAACTGAACTAGAACTGAACTGAACTAGAACTGAACTAGAACTAAACTAGAACTGAACTAGAACTGAACTAGAACTGAACTAGAACTGAACTAGAACTGAACTGGAACTGAACTAGAACTAGAACTGAACTAGAACTGAACTAGAACTGAACTAGAACTGAACTAGAACTGAACTAGAACTGAACTAGAACTGAACTAGAACTGAACTAGAACTGAACTAGAACTGAACTAGAACTGAAATAGAACTGAACTAGAACTGAACTAGAACTGAACTAGAACTGAACTAGAACTGAACTGGAACTGAACTGGAACTGAACTAGAACTGAACTAGAACTGAACTAGAACTGAAATAGAACTGAACTAGAACTGAACTAGAACTGAACTAGAACTGAACTAGAAATGAACTAGAACTGAATTGGAATTGAACTAGAACTGAATTGGAATTGAACTAGAACTGAACTGAACTAGAACTGAAATAGAACTGAACTAGAACTGAACTAAAACTGAACTAGAACTGAACTAGAACTGAACTAGAACTGAACTAGAACAGAACTAGAACTGAACTAGAACTGAACTAGAACTGAACTAGAACTGAACTAGAACTGAACTAGAACTGAACTAGAACTGAACTAGAACTGAACTAGAACTGAACTAGAACTAAACTAGAACTGAACTGGAACTGAACTAGAACTAGAACTGAACTAGAACTGAACTAGAACTGAACTAGAACTGAACTAGAACTGAAACTAGAACTGAACTAGAACTGAACTAGAACTGAACTAGAACTGAACTAGAACTGAACTAGAACTGAAATAGAACTGAACTAGAACTGAACTAGAACTGAACTAAAACTGACTAGAACTGAACTAGAACTGAACTAGAACTGAACTAGAACTGAACTAGAACTGAACTAGAACTGAAATAGAACTGAACTAGAACTGAAATAGAACTGAACTAGAACTGAACTAAAACTAAACTAGAACTAAACTAGAACTGAACTAGAACTGAACTGAACTAGAACTGAACTAGAACTAAACTAGAACTGAACTAGAACTGAACTAGAACTGAACTAAAACTGAACTAGAACTGAACTGAACTGAACTAGAACTGAACTAAACTGAACTATAACTGAACTAGAACTGAACTAGAATTGAACTAGAACTGAACTAGAACTGAACTAAAACTGAACTAGAACTGAACTAGAACTGAACTAGAACTAAACTAGAACTGAACTAGAACTGAACTAGAACTGAACTAGAACTGAACTAGAACTGAACTAAAACTGAACTAGAACTGAAACTAGAACTGAACTAGAACTGAACTAGAACTAGAACTGAACTGAACTAAACTAAACTGAACTATAACTGAACTAGAACTGAACTAGAATTGAACTAGAACTGAACTAGAACTGACTAGAACTGAACTAGAACTGAACTAGAACTGAACTAGAACTGAACTAGAACTGAACTAGAACTGAACTAGAACTGAACTAGAACTAAACTAGAACTAAACTAGAACTGAACTAGAACTGAACTAGAACTGAACTAGAACTGAACTAGAACTGAACTAGAACTGAACTAGAACTGAACTAGAACTGAACTGAACTAGAAACTGAACTAGAACTAAACTAGAACTAAACTAGAACTGAACTAGAAACTGAACTAGAACTGAACTAGAACTGAACTAGAACTGAACAGAACTGAAACTAGAACTGAACTAGAACTGAACTAGAACTGAACTAGAACTGAACTAGAACTGAACTAGAACTGAACTAGAACTGAACTAGAACTGAACTAGAACTGAACTAGAACTGAACTAGAACTGAACTAGAACTGAACTAGAACTGAACTAGAATTGAACTAGAACTGAACTAGAACTGAACTAGAACTGAACTAGAACTGAACTAGAACTGAACTAGAACTGAACTAGAATTGAACTAGAACTGAACTAGAACTGAACTAGAACTGAACTAGAACTGAACTAGAACTGAACTAGAACTGAACTAGAACTGAACTAGAACTGAACTAGAACTGAACTAGAACTGAACTAGAACTGAACTAGAACTGAACTAGAACTGAACTAGAACTGAATTAGAACTTAACTAGAACTGAAATAGAACTGAAATAGAACTGAACTAGAACTGAACTAGAACTGAACTAGAACTGAACTAGAACTGAACTAGAACTGAACTAGAACTGAACTAGAACTGAACTAGAACTGAACTAGAACTGAACTAGAACTGAACTAGAACTGAACTAGAACTGAACTAGAACTGAACTAGAACTGAACTAGAACTGAACTAGAACTGACAAAAACTGAACTAGAGCTGAACTAGAACTGAACTAGAACTGATCTAGAACTGAACTAGAACTGAAATAGAACTGAACTAAAACTGAACTAGAACTGAACTAGAACTGAACTAGAACTGAACCAGAACTGAACTAGAACTGAACTAGAACTGAACTAGAACTGAACAAAAACTGATCTAAAACAGAACTAGAACTAAACTAGAAGCGTCTTCTAATGAAGACAGGTTTCTTCTAATGAAGACAGGTTTCTTCTAATGAAGACAGGTTTCTTCCCTCAAAGACAGTTTTTTCCCAAAAACTTACCTCCGTTGCATATAAAATTTCCAAAATTTTCTGTATCAAAGGATGGGTATCTCCTTCTTCAGCTTCTTGGCAGCTAGAAGAGAAAATTTAAACAATTTCGAATAAATAATTATCTTTTAAATAATAAAGTAAAAGAAAATGCTTACAGAATTTCTATATCACGCAATTTAGAGAAATAGAAATCTCTTTCTTTTTCCAAACCCTCCAAATTTAAACGCATATCCATGACCTTAGAAAAACAGAACAAACAAATAATTAAAGCAAATTGTTATAAACAATTTAAAGTAAATAGAAAAATACCTGGCTAGATAATTCTTCAATTTGTTGATTCGTTACAGCACTGGTATTATTTTCATTAGCTTTCTTAACGGCACCACCAGCACTGCTATTTGAAGAAGCCACAGCCGGTCTTGAATTTGTAGCAGGAACAGCAGCTCTAGGCGGTACTTTTGTAGCTAGTTTTATAAAGAAATAAATAAACTTAATACAAATTTAAACACATGAGAAAGAGAAAACAAAATGCAAAACTTTAAGTTCTTTTTTATAAATTTGCTGGGAAAATCTTTTCAACAAACAAACGTGAAGCACGTTTTAAATATTAGTATAAAACCAAAATATAAACTTTTAAACAAAATAATGTTAATAATTAAATATTAAGAGTAAAAAATAATAAGTGCTTTTTGAGATGTTATTAAATGAAGTACATGAAAAAACAAATAATAATAATAATAATAAAAGAAATGACAATCAATCACATACTAGGCCTCATTGACGATGACACTGTTGAACGTTGTACTGGCACTACAGCTGGTTTTCTATATGATGTATTACCGGCACCAGTTCCGGGTAAACTCTTAACATTACCGGCACCAAAGCCCATCTGTGCACCTTCTCTAGCTGCACTGGCATCATAATCATGACCATCGTAATTGGCATCAAAGAATTTTTTAAACCATTGTAAAAATTCAAAATTATCTTGAAAACGGCCTTTAATCAATTTATCAATCGGTATTATCTGTATGTAAGTAAGGGAGGAGTTTGTTGGTGTGTTTTTTGATGTTTAGATTTTGTGTAAAATGATGAAACGTGAAAAAAAAACCAAAAACAAAAACCAAATAATGAAAAAAAAGAAAGAAAAGGGGAAAAATATTTAAATGATAGATGTAAATTATGGTTAAATAAATGTATTTTATTATTAATTAATTAATAAATATGTAATATTACAAAAAAAGTATAAAGTAAGTGATATTTTATGAGCGAAACGAGACGAAACAAAACGACACAAGTGTTAAATGAAAGGACACTTTTTGCGCGAGTATTAAAAGAGGGAAATGTTAAAATTAAATTGATTGATTTTTTACATATAACATTGCATGTTCTTATTACTTTTATGGATATTTATTATATTAGCATTAATCATGACTGCTGACAGAATTAACTTTTATTTTTTTCTTTTCCAATTACATATATTATGATTATATGGTTTGTTTGTTTATTTTTAATGTTTACTTGCAAAAGATTTTAAAAATAATCACAAATTTTGTAATGAAAAATAAATACTTGGCAAACCGCAATAAATTCAATACTGTGAGTTTTTATTATTTGTCATAAAATTTACTAGCTAGAGGCTAAAAAGAACTTTAAAGGTGGTATTTTTATAAAAAAAATAAATTTGTAATTCAATTACAAATTTACTACAGTCTAATATTCCCAACAGGATGACAGTGAAGCAGACCCACAGCCCCGGACTATTAATCACACTACAATCTACCCCACAGGGGCAACCATATATGATTTATATTTTAACTTTGTTTTTAAATTTTTCTTTCACACAAATTTTTAAGATTTTCTATTACCAAAGCTGAAAAACGACCATAGATTGACAAAGAATGATCGAAAAAGAGTTCAATTCTAGTTCAGTTGTAGTTCAGTTCTAATTCAGTTCTAGTTCAGTTCTAGTTCAGTTCTAGTTCAGTTTTAATTCAGTTTTAGTTCAGTTCTAGTTCAGTTCTAGTTCAGTTTCTAGTTCAGTTCTAGTTCTAGGTCTAGTTTCAGTTCTAGTTCAGTTCTAGTTCAGTTCTAGGTTCAGTTCTAGTTCAGTTCTAGTTCAGTTCTAGTTCAGTTCTAGTTCAGTTCTAGTTCAGTTCTAGTTCAGTTCTAGTTCAGTTCTAGTTCAGTTCTTAGTTCAGTTCTAGTTCAGTTCTAGTTCAGTTCTAGTTCAGTTTCTAGTTCAGTTCTAGTTCAGTTCTAGTTCAGTTCTAGTTCAGTTCTAGTTCAGTTCTAGTCAGTTCTAGCTTCAGTTATAGTTCAGTTTCTAGTTCAGTTCTAGTTCAGTTCTAGTTCAGTTCTAGTTCAGTTCTAGTTCAGTTCTAGTTCAGTTCTAGTTCAGTTCTAGTTCAGTTCTAGTTCAGTTCTAGTTCAGTTCTAGTTCAGTTCCTAGTTCAGTTCTAGTTCAGTTCTAGTTCAGTTCTAGTTCAGTTCTAGTTCAGTTCTAGTTCAGTTCTAGTTCAGTTCTAGTTCAGTTCTAGTTCAGTTCTAGTTCAGTTCTAGTTCAGTTCTAGTTCAGTTCTAGTTCAGTTCTAGTTTCAGTTCTAGTTCAGTTCTAGTTCAGTTCTAGTTCAGTTCTAGTTCAGTTCTAGTTCAGTTCTGTTCAGTTCTAGTTCAGTTCTAGTTCAGTTCTAGTTCAGTTCTAGTTCAGTTCTAGTTCAGTTCTAGTTCAGTTTCTAGTTCAGTTCTAGTTCAGTTCTAGTTCAGTTCTAGTTCAGTTCTAGTTCAGTTCTAGTTCAGTTCTAGTTCATTCTGTTCAGTTCTAGTTCAGTCTAGTTCAGTTCTAGTTCAGTTCTAGTTCAGTTCTAGTTCAGTTCTAGTTCAGTTCTAGTTCAGTTCTAGTTCAGTTCTAGTTCAGTTCTAGTTCAGTTCTATTCAGTTCTAGTTCAGTTCTAGTTCAGTTCTAGTTCAGTTCTAGTTCAGTCTAGTTCAGTTCTAGTTCAGTTCTAGATCAGTTCTAGTTCAGTTCTAGTTCAGTTCTAGTTCAGTTCTAGTTCAGTTCTAGTTCAGTTCTAGTTCAGTTCTAGTTCAGTTCTAGTTCAGTTCTAGTTCAGTTCTAGATCAGTTCTAGTTCTGTTCTAATTCTATTCTAGGTCTGTTCTGCTCTAATTCTGTTCTAGGTCTGTTCTGCTCTAGTTCTGTTCATTCTCCTCACCTTTCTCTGTTTAATATTTTAACGCAATCTGATAAAAGGAAACCAAATAATTACCAATGAAACATAACGGACAGGACCATAATAAGAAAAAAAAAAAAAAACAGTAAACAAAAAACATATGAATGAATCAAATGTGTGAGTGTGGTGTTTAAAATTTCTAGTGAAAGGATTAAAAGTGAGAAACAGGCAAATATGGAATCACTGAATCGAGCCAAGAACCACTTAACAAGTGAAACTAATTAAATTATGAAGAAGATATTTTATTGATTAAAAAAAAAAAAATAATAGTGCTTATAATGAGTGTAAATAGGGTGCTGCCCTTAACCGTTTAAATTATAAATAAACTAAAAGGAAAAATCAAACTGAAAAACCATAACAAAACGTGCTTCACACTTTTTTAAACAGAAATTTTTACAGATTTTTTCCCATTCTCTCTTTTGTAGACTAACTAACTTGCTTATAATTTTAAATAAGCAAAAATATAAAGAAGAAAAATAAACAATTTATTTAAAGAAAATATAACATGGTCATACCGGTTGTTCGTGTTGTGGTAGCATGTGTTGTACTACGTCCCGAAGGCATTTGTATATGACGTTTGTCATGCTGATGATGATGTAGCAAATCATTACTGCTGCCTACACCACTACCACCGCCACCAACACCATTGCCCAATTTAATGCCACCACGTGCTATTAGCGGTTCATATTCACGTCCATCGTAATTGGCATCAAAGAACTTTTTAAAACCATTGTAAAAATTCAAAATTATCTTGAAAACGTCCCTTAATTAATTTATCAACGGGTATAATCTACACTAGGCGCACATTATTTCGATTGAATATTGCAATTATTATTTGCAAAATGTTCAAATTTATTTCATTTTCGTTTGCAGAACCCCAAATAACAGAAATTAGAAGGAGAAGAAAAAATAAAGACATACAAACATTTAGTATAAGTAGGTCATCAATTAAAACCAGTCATAGCATTGTAAACAACATCAACAATAGCAAAACTATCACTTACTTTTTTTCTTTGTTTTCTTTATTTTTTATTGTTCAATAATTTTTATGAATAATTTATAAAAGTTAAACTGAAAAGAAAAAAGAAAAAAACAGCACATACCTTGTCTACACTCATTTTTTTGAAAGAAGCTTGTAGTATCTTGAAGTTTTGAATGTATTCATGTTCCAAATTTGTACGGAACTTGACACGTTTCATAGGTACCGAACCAGGAAATAACATATCCATAAACTGACAATAAGCAGCCCCTTAAAAGAGAGAAAAGAGAAAATCAACTTATAAAAATGGTACATGTAGTTAAAGTATAAGAAGTTTTAATAAATAAATGGTTAAATTGTTGTGTATACAATGTGGTAATACAAGTGTCAAACCTTAAGTCTTGAAAATTTACATTTTTAAAGAACTTTACTTTAGTTAAGCCAAAACCATAACCATAAGTGTAGAAAATTTAAAACTTTTAAAGAACTTTATATTAGTTAAACCTGGTTAAAATCTTATGTAATAAGTTTAACTTTGTTTAACATCTATAGTCTAGTCTATAGTCTAGAATATAGTCTAGTCTATAGTCTAGTCTATAGTCTAGTCTATAGTCTAGTCTATAGTCTAGGTCTATAGTCTAGTCTATAGTCTAGTCTATAGTCTAGTCTATAGTCTAGTCTATAGTCTAGTCTATAGTCTAGTCTATAGTCTAGTCTATAGTCTAGTCTATAGTCTAGTCTATAGTCTAGTCTATAGTCTAGTCTATAGTCTAGTCTATAGTCTAGTCTATAGTCTAGTCTATAGTCCTAGTCTATAGTCTAGTCTATAGTCTAGTCTATAGTCTAGTCTATAGTCTAGTCTATAGTCTAGTCTATAGTCTAGTCTATAGTCTAGTCTCTAGTCTAGTCTATAGTCTAGTCTATAGTTAGTCTATAGTCTAGTCTATAGTCTAGTCTAAGTCTAGCTATAGTCTAGTCTATAGTCTAGTCTATAGTCTAGTCTATAGTCTAGTCTAGTCAGTCTATAGTTAGTCTAGTCTATCTATAGTCTAGTCTATAGTCTAGTCTATAGCTGTCTATAGTCTAACTATAGTCTAGTCTATAGTCTAGTCTATAGTAGTCTATAGTCTAGTCTATAGTCTAGTCTATAGTCTAGTCTATAGTCTAAGTCTATAGTCTAGTCTATAGTCTAGTCTATAGTCTAGTCTATAAGTCTAGTCTATAGTCTAGTCTATAGTCTAGTCTATAGTCTAGTCTATAGTCTAGTCTATAGTCTAGTCTATAGTCTAGTCTATAGTCTAGTCTATAGTCTAGTCTATAGTCTAGTCTATAGTCTAGTCTATAGTCTAGTCTATAGTCTAGTCTATAGTCTAGTCTATAGTCTAGTCTATAGTCTAGTCTATAGTCTAGTCTATAGTCTAGTCTATAGTCTAGTCTAGTCTAGTCTATAGTCTAGTCTATAGTCTAGTCTATAGTCTAGTCTATAGTCTAGTCTATAGTCTAGTCTATAGTCTAGTCTATAGTCTAGTCTATAGTCTAGTCTATAGTCTAGTCTATAGTCTAGTCTATAGTCTAGTCTATAGTCTAGTCTATAGTCTAGTCTATAGTCTAGTCTATAGTCTAGTCTATAGTCTAGTCTATAGTCTAGTCTATAGTCTAGTCTATAGTCTAGTCTATAGTCTAGTCTATAGTCTAGTCTATAGTCTAGTCTATAGTCTAGTCTATAGTCTAGTCTATAGTCTAGTCTATAGTCTAGTCTATAGTCTAGTCTATAGTCTAGTCTATAGTCTAGTCTATAGTCTAGTCCAACGGTTCCCAAATGGGGGTCCGCGGACCCCTAGTGGTCCGTAGTAAAATCCTAGGGGGTCCACGAAGACGAACGAAAAAAACCATGAATAAACAATATTCTGCTTTTATATGTATGTACAAATATCTCAAATTTTTGTGCAATAATCCCAAATTTTTTGGTGACTTTTTGAATTTTATTTTTTCGGTTGTTTATCAGGAAGAAGCTAGGCCCTACAAATTTATTGTACAACTTTTATAAAGTAAAGTACTGCGTGATTTGTAATTTTTATTTCCTTTATATGTACTGAAATAATGGTTTTTATTTCAGACAAATAATACTCTGCCTTACAATTAAATTAGGGATACTGGTATTCCGGAGTATGAAGTTCAATTCAAAGACAAGCTTATTACAGATTTAAGTTTATCAAATTGTAAGCAAAAGTGTTCTCGTTTGAAAAGACTAAAATTATATATTTCCAAAACAGAGGTGACTCTTTATTATGCATCTCTTTATAAATATTCCAATCCGACGTGATACACAGATTTTAACTTGATTTTGTCGACCAATACATATTATTAAATTAACATCAGAAAATCCATAGCGTTTCGTGTAAATATGTAGCCAAAAACCATGAAGTAAAATAATTCGTTGGTATTTTAAAATTCAAATTTAAGTTCCAAATTCACAGTACTTTAACAAAGAGTTCAAATCATATATTATGCGGATAACGCATTCCGCAACAACATAGAAGAAGTCCAACTTTCTTATATTATTTTCCCGAAAACTTAGCTCACTTACTCAGTTCACCCTTTGCAATCGCAAACAAATTCTTGAAACGTGACTCCTTAAGCACATGTGACAATATTTGATAAAGAAACCTTTTCGCTACCTTGAAGAAAAATGAACATGAAAGATCTCACGATCATAAAATTAAACATCATGTTAACATATCAACAAAGAAGTCATTCTATCTTCAAAACATGCAATTGAAAACCTATCTGAAATATTATATATTCTCAATGTACGGGAATATTTTATAGATATGACATCTCTACATTTATTAGACCTAGGGATTAATGAACTAGGTCAATTTTCGCATGGACAATTATTTAGAACAATAAGATATCAAAATATGTATGGGGGTCCGCGAAATTAAATAAGTTCTTCAAGGGGTCCGCGAAGTAAATATCTGTGGGAACCGCTGGTCTAGTCTATAGTCTAGTCTATAGTCTAGTCTATAGTCTAGTCTATAGTCTAGTCTATAGTCTAGTCTATAGTCTAGTCTATAGTCTAGTCTATAGTCTAGTCTATAGTCTAGTCTAGTCTATAGTCTAGTCTATAGTCTAGTCTATAGTCTAGTCTAGTCTATAGTCTAGTCTATAGTCTAGTCTAGTCTATAGTCTAGTCTAGTAGTCTAGTCTAGTCTATAGTCTAGTCTAGTCTATAGTCTATTCTAGTCTAGTCTAGTCTATAGTCTAGTCTAGTCTATAGTCTAGTCTAGTCTATAGTCTAGTCTAGTCTATAGTCTAGTCTATATAGTCTAGTCTATAGTCTAGTCTATAGTCTAGTCTATAGTCTAGTCTATAGTCTAGTCTATAGTCTAGTCTATAGTCTAGTCTATAGTCTAGTCTATAGTCTAGTCTATAGTCTAGTCTATAGTCTAGTCTATAGTCTACTCTATAGTCTAGTCTATAGTCTAGTCTATAGTCTAGTCTATAGTCTAGTCTATAGTCTAGTCTATAGTCTAGTCTATAGTCTAGTCTATAGTCTAGTCTATAGTCTAGTCTATAGTCTAGTCTATAGTCTAGTCTATAGTCTAGTCTATAGTCTAGTCTATAGTCTAGTCTATAGTCTAGTCTATAGTCTAGTCTATAGTCTAGTCTATAGTCTAGTCTATAGTCTAGTCTATAGTCTAGTCTATAGTCTAGTCTATAGTCTAGTCTATAGTCTAGTCTATAGTCTAGTCTATAGTCTAGTCTATAGTCTAGTCTATAGTTTAGTCTATAGTCTAGTCTATAGTCTAGTCTATAGTCTAGTCTATAGTCTAGTCTATAGTCTAGTCTAGTCTATAGTCTAGTCTAGTCTAGTCTAGTCTATAGTCTAGTCTATAGTCTAGTCTATAGTCTAGTCTATAGTCTAGTCTATAGTCTAGTCTATAGTCTAGTCTAGTCTATAGTCTAGTCTATAGTCTAGTCTATAGTCTAGTCTATAGTCTAGTCTATAGTCTAGTCTATAGTCTAGTCTATAGTCTAGTCTATAGTCTAGTCTATAGTCTAGTCTATAGTCTAGTCTATAGTCTAGTCTATAGTCTAGTCTATAGTCTAGTCTATAGTCTAGTCTATAGTCTAGTCTATAGTCTAGTCTATAGTCTAGTCTATAGTCTAGTCTATAGTCTAGTCTATAGTCTAGTCTATAGTCTAGTCTATAGTCTAGTCTATAGTCTAGTCTATAGTCTAGTCTATAGTCTAGTCTATAGTCTAGTCTATAGTCTAGTCTATAGTCTAGTCTATAGTCTAGTCTATAGTCTAGTCTATAGTCTAGTCTATAGTCTAGTCTATAGTATAGTCTAGTCTATGTCTAGTCTATAGTACTATAGTCTAGTCTAGTCTAGTCTATAGTCTAGTCTATAGTCTAGTCTATAGTCTAGTCTATAGTCTTGTCTATAGTCTAGTCTATAGTCTAGTCTATAGTCTAGTCTATAGTCTAGTCTATAGTCTAGTCTATAGTCTAGTCTATAGTCTAGTCTATAGTCTAGTCTATAGTCTAGTCTATAGTCTAGTCTATAGTCTAGTCTATAGTCTAGTCTAGTCTAGTCTATAGTCTAGTCTATAGTCTAGTCTAGTCTATAGTCTAGTCTAGTCTATAGTCTAGTCTAGTCTATAGTCTAGTCTATAGTCTAGTCTAGTCTATAGTCTAGTCTATAGTCTAGTCTAGTCTATAGTCTAGTCTATAGTCTAGTCTATAGTCTAGTCTATAGTCTAGTCTATAGTCTAGTCTATAGTCTAGTCTATAGTCTAGTCTATAGTCTAGTCTATAGTCTAGTCTATAGTCTAGTCTATAGTCTAGTCTATAGTCTAGTCTATAGTCTAGTCTATAGTCTAGTCTATAGTCTAGTCTATAGTCTAGTCTATAGTCTAGTCTATAGTCTAGTCTATAGTCTAGTCTATAGTCTAGTCTATAGTCTAGTCTATAGTCTAGTCTATAGTCTAGTCTATAGTCTAGTCTATAGTCTAGTCTATAGTCTAGTCTATAGTCTAGTCTATAGTCTAGTCTATAGTATAGTCTATAGTCTAGTCTATAGTCTAGTCTATAGTCTAGTCTATAGTCTAGTCTAGTCTATAGTCTAGTCTAGTCTATAGTCTAGTCTAGTCTATAGTCTAGTCTAGTCTATAGTCTAGTCTATAGTCTAGTCTATAGTCTAGTCTATAGTCTAGTCTATAGTCTAGTCTATAGTCTAGTCTAGTCTAGTCTATAGTCTAGTCTATAGTCTAGTCTATAGTCTAGTCTATAGTCTAGTCTATAGTCTACTCTATAGTCTACTCTATAGTCTAGTCTATAGTCTAGTCTATAGTCTAGTCTAGTCTAGTCTATAGTCTAGTCTATAGTCTAGTCTATAGTCTAGTCTATAGTCTAGTCTATAGTCTAGTCTATAGTCTAGTCTATAGTCTAGTCTATAGTCTAGTCTATAGTCTAGTCTATAGTCTAGTCTATAGTCTAGTCTATAGTCTAGTCTATAGTCTAGTCTATAGTCTAGTCTATAGTCTAGTCTATAGTCTAGTCTATAGTCTAGTCTATAGTCTAGTCTATAGTCTAGTCATATAGTCTAGTCTATAGTCCTAGTTATAGTCTATCTTAGTCTAGTCTATAGTCTAGTCTATAGTCTAGTCTATAGTCTAGTCTATAGTCTAGTCTATAGTCTAGTCTATAGTCTAGTCTATAGTCTAGTCCTATAGTCTAGTCTATAGTCTAGTCTATAGTCAGTTATAAGTCTAGTCTATAGTCTAGTCTTAGTCTAGTCTATAGTCTAGTCTATAGTCTAGTCTATAGTCCTAGTCTAGAGTCCTAGTCTATAGTCTAGTCTTAGTCTAGTCTATGTCTAAGTCTATAGTCTAGTCTATAGTCTAGTCTATAGTCTAGTCTATAGTCTAGCTATAGTCTAGTCTATAGTCTAGTCTATAGTCTAGTCTATAGTTTAGTCTATAGTCTAGTCTATAGTCTAGTCTAAGTCTAGTCTATATCTAGGTCTATAGTCTAGTCTATAGTCCTAGTCCTATAGTCTAGTCTATAGTCCTAGATATAGTTAGTCCAGTCTATAGTCTAGTCTATAGTCTAGTATATAGTCCAGTCCTATAGTCGAGTCTATAGTCTAGTCCTATAGTCTAGTCTATAGTCTACTCTATAGTCTAGTCTATAGTCTAATCTATAGTCTACTCTATAGTCTAGTCTATAGTCTAATCTATAGTCTAGTCTATAGTCTAATCTATAGTCTAGTCTATAGTCTAGTCTATAGTCTAGCCTATAGTCTAGCCTATAGTCTAGCCTATAGTCTGGCCTATAGTCTAGTCTATAGTTTTAGTCTAGATTTTTGTGTGTACTAACCTTTACAAGTTATTTGATTTATGACTTAATCTTATACATAACTGGATTTTACTCTAAAAAAGACTAACTAGATCGCAGATGACATCTAAATAGAAACAACTTTTTTAGTAAATGCAATTACATATTTCTTTGACTGAATATTTAGTTTAAATAAATTAACGTTTCTTACAGACCATGAAAATTATCTTAATTAATAATCAAACAAAAACAAACATATGAACTAAATATTTATTTCAATACAATTATACGGTTTTTTTTTGTGTCGTTTGTCTATGTTATGGCCTGCGGCATTTGTAAATATTTATACTTAAAGTGTAGTTTGTTCACTTACCAGTACATAGTTCTTCAATTTTCGAAAATTGTGCCTGCAGACAATCATTTACCCAAGCAAGCATATCATGTCTGGATAGATTTTCAGTCGTAACATTTGTAGAATATACATTCACTGCCATTTTTTCTAATTGTTAATATTTCTACTGCTATTTTTATTGTTGTTTCCTTTCAAAAACCACAAACTCTTTTAGGGTGGCTGTTTATAAAAGCTGGCGTTTGGTTTGTTGGCTGCTTTACGTTTTTTTTTTGTTTTTTTTTTTGGAGTAGAAAAGAAAAATACTGTAAAGAAAATAAATAAAATTAAAATATTAGTTTTAATTGTTTTTTAATATTGTGTTTTAATGTTTAAATTTAGTTTAATTAAATCATGTAGTATGGGCGTTTATTGTTTGTTTTATTAAACATGTTTCATTGTTGTTTCTTTCCATTTCTTTGGCTGAAGTCATCTTGCGAGCAGCAGCAGTAATGTTAAATATGTATATTCATTCCATTTCGGAATCAACATGTGTAATTATTTGTTGTCGAAAGTGAATTGAAGCGTAGCGCCATGTGCGTGATTCAAATCTTTTTTTTTTCTTCTTCTTCTTTTTGACTACAAGTTCATTATCATTAATAGACTAACTAACGGATAACTTATTATTTCCATGGAAACGTAATGAAAAAACAAACAGCAACAGATGGTCACGTTAAGATAACTTATGAAAGTAACAAAAAAAAAAAATATTATTTTTATTTTGTTTAAATTGTATTTAATGGCAGATAAATTTTTATTTGTATCAATTAAATCATTTTTTTAATAGTTCCAGTAATTAATCTTTGAGAAAATAAGTAAAAAAAACAATAAAACTAAAAGCTAACCGTTCCATATTGGGCAAGCTTAACATGGCAAAAAGTGATATGAACATATGAACGATAAATATTTGTTTCCAATAATTATTGGCAACTTAATTATTCAATTAATTTATTTAATTAGATTTTATTTAATCGAAATATTTGTCATAATCTATTTAACCAGGTGTTAAAGTATATTTGGAAGTTTGTTCCTTAGTAGGGGAGTTCCTCTATTAACTTGGTTTAAACATAAATCTAGCAAACGTGCTCAATGACAGCTATATGTATTTACATAATGTTAGGTTAGTTTAGCAAGGCTAAAACTCCACTAGGATCACTTTTAGTCCATTGCCCATTCCATTCATCAAGAATATAATGGATGTTAAATAGCTAAAGCCACCCAATAGAGACGGTGCCT